TATTTAACAAGTATTTGGACTACTTTCGTCAGTTAATCACAAGCAACTCACAATAATTCGGTGCTTGTCAATTAATTTACATTGGATCCCTTTTCTTTGCACCTAGACGAATCTATGAGCATACCAGATAACTGTAAATAAATAAATATGGCCTTTAAAAGGCTCAAAGACTTCTATAAAGTTCCTTTTATTCATTTGTGATCGATTTATTCGTTTACATTTATTAGCCGATTTCAAACTCGTTTTGGTTTACTTGCAAAGCAACTTAAGTAGCTTGTTTAACAGCCTTATGTTTACGATTACAATAATACCACCAGTATTTCCGATTAACCTTTGGACGATGCTTCATTAACACCCACCAGTTAACCAACGTTGGTCCTAACCTTTGCTTACTCACTAAAGCAAATCACGTTACTAATCATTGTTAGCACTCACTAGTTAACCCCAACATTGCTTGCTCACCAAAGCAAATAAACGTGGCTTTTACCAAAGCTTCACAATTGTTACCTTTTACCAAAGAAGATAAAAAAACCGTTTTTATTTTTATTTTATTTTTAAAAGTTTATTAACGTTTAATAAAAACAATTATTCTAAGAGTTTTATTTTATCAGAATATTAATTATCTATTATTTTTCTCTGAGATCAAGCGAAGACCAGAAGTTATTCTTGATGAAATTTTTGTCGCTACAATAAGGATAAAGATAAAGATGGGTTTATTATTGCAAAGTAACTTAATCAATCAATATTGATATTATAAAAACTTCCATAATTATTTACACACTAATTAGTTGACCCTGGAACATAAAGTACTGAATCTCTAATTGATGATTTTATCTAACCCGATCATGTTATTAATATTAATATAGTAAATGTTCGAGTTTAGTAGTAAATGAGTGAACTTGTATTCAGCAAAAGAAAAACTTGGCTCCTTGGGAACAACTGATGAGATTGGATACACAAAAGAAGACCTTGGAATATATATTTATAAATTTTTTTTGTGAGCTTTTATATTTTATTCTCCTTTAAAGCAATTTTACTTGCGTCATTTTTGAATTTAACATAATAGTTTTACAACTTTGGTAATATTTCGTCAAAAAACATTAGAATAGAGGCAGAAAAGTTGATATAAAATTATTACTTACAATAATTCGTTCGCCCAATTTAGGAGTTTCGCCCACAGTTTAGGCAATTTTTAAGTTTCTCCAATCTCGCCAGAAAACTTTCATGGGCCTGAACTCAAGCCTAAATACCTAATACTATGGGTTAGTTTCGGGCCATTAGTCATGATATAAAAGGAATTGATTGACGATAATTGGGGTCCTGTTACATGCATGCATATGCGTGTTTGTAAATATCTTTGGGGATTTGACTAGATTATAATAATCGAGTTAATAAAAATGACATCAACAAGTTTTAAACAAAATAAAACTATAAGCTTGGAAGAGTGGGAGATAAAAACTCAATTATCAGAGGCACAAAGACAAAGTGTATTAGAGTTACAAGATGCTTGTGCAGAATTACCATTACCTGAAGGCGTAAGATTTATGTAAAATTATAATTGATTTAAATGTATTTCTAATGGTAATTAAATTATATAATTATATATAAAATTTTATTAATATAGCTTCTGACTGATTTTGGCTCAGGTACACCACAACGTACAGCTTCACCCTCACTCCCACCTTACAAAGACAATTTAAAACAATCTTCATATCAACATTTAGCTTCTTCGCCTTTGCCAAAATCACGATCGACCACTAATCTGTTAGCTGCAGAGTTTCAAGCTACAGAAGCAGTAGCCTTTTTAATACCAGATTCTTCATCACTTGGTATTACACAACCAATCGAGACCACGCAACAATTTTTTGATTGGTTTGCTAGAATGGAAAATGATATGGAAAGAGATCAAGAAGATGTTTACAGGTTTGATTAAACATTTAATCTTTGATAAAAAAAACATTGATAGCTAAATTGATGGATTAAATTATTTTTAATCTCTAGAAATTTTCTTTCAGTAATTACATTATATAGACAAGCATGTGATGATTTTCTAAAACAAATAGATACAACCGCTAAATTGTTCAATGATCTTGAAGGGAATTTTAAATTTGTTGAAGAACGTACAAGAGCACTGCAAACAGCTTGCGAAACACTTCTTGAAGAACAGGTATTGTGTATAGTTTATATTACATATAAACTATATATTATGTTAATTAAAAATATTGTTTAAATGTAGAATAATTTAGCCAAATTAGCAGATTCAATGTCATCAAAATTGTCTTATTATAATGAATTGGAAACAATTACAAAATTATTTAATTCACCAGGAGAAAGTATTTGTGAACTAAAAGAATTCTTGCCCACGTTAACAAAGTTAGATGAATGTTTAGATTACATGCAAAATAATGTTTGTATTAATTTGATTATTTTTTCAAAAAAAAAAAAAAATCAAATCAAATAAAAACATTAAATTATTTTTAATTAAAAAAAAAAAAAAAGATGAAATATAAGGATTCAGAACTTTACCTTATCAGATTTAGACAATGTTTAACAAGAGGAATTACAATTATTAAAATGTATTTTATTAGTACAATTAAAAGTATAGGGTTGGAAATTAGCAAAAAAAATAATCAGGTATTATTTCAATATTTATGAATATGTATTTATTTCAAAGAAACTAACCATCATTCATTTTAATATCATCGTCACTATTGTTGTTAATTGATTATTTCAAGTTATTAAATTCTACAGTACAAACTGCAGTACTTTATGTAAAATTTAAAGCTATCTCACCAAAATTTAAAGAATTATTACATGAAATTGAAAAAAGATGTTCTGAACATCAAGAGTAAGTTACATCGGCCTTATAGTTCTTATTAGCAATCAATGTTTTAATTTTCCCTTGAATTATTCTTAATTTTTATTTAATTATATTATAGGTATTATTCTTTATTAAACGATTGTTATGATGCGTACTTTTCCGTACGGCAGCAACTTCTTGTTCCTGTCATTTATTCAAAGATTCTTGATTTAGGAGCTAATGAACAAGATATCTTGTCATTTGTAAGGTTTTTCAAGACATTTAAAATTATTAATTATAAATTGTGGATTTTATAATTCATCTTTTGCATATGTAAATAGGCACGTAATGGATATGCATATATGTTGAATCTTTGTAATGATGAGTATTCATTATTTTATAATTTTTTTACAACTGGTGAAGATGATTTATAGTAAGTTACTATGAACTATAATTATATAATTAATATCATTCTCAATTAATATTTAATTAATATATATATATATATATATGTGCTACTTAGTGGAAAATTATTAGATCTATTATGTAGTTATATGTACGATTTTCTCCGCCCAAAAATTATTCATGAAGCAAGTATTGATACTTTATCTGAACTATGTACTATATTGCTAGTTCATCTTAATCAAGATGTTGAAGAAGATGAAGGTTGGACATAAAAATTTTTTTAATTTGTTAAATATTAATGTTGAGAAATAATAATTATATCAATGTATCTTTTTAGGTAAAGAAGGTCAAGGATTACAGTTTAGTTACTTGATTCGTAATGTTCTTCAGGATGCACAACAAAGGCTTGTATTTCGAGCTCAAACATATATTCGAAGTGAAATACAAAATTATATTGCGAAACCTTCAGACCTAGATTATCCGAATAAATTAAAAGGTATATTTTATTTAACATTTGCATTATATTAATTATATTATTTGATATATTTATACATGTATGTTTTATATTTTAGCTTTGAATGATAAACTATTATCAGCTGTGACTGCTGAAGAATACCCAAAAGAACTTCTACAACGTTCTTTATCAGCACCACCAATGCTAGAGAAAAATGATGATGATAAATCTATCACCAATGTTAGCATCAACTCCACCACTACTAACAACACCAATACTGAATTTTCCATAAATCCTGCTGATACAGGTGGAATATATCATGGATGGTTTCCCACATTACAACGTACATTATATGTACTTTCAAAGCTTTATCAATGTGTTAATGTAAGTTGATGAAATTTTTATCTATATATATATATATATATATATATATATATTTAAATATAATTATTTAATATAAAATTTTATATATATCTATATAGACTAAAATATTTGATGATATAGCACAAGATGTTGTTCTATTATGTTTAAAATCTCTATTATCAGCAAGTGAAACAATTTCAAAACATGTAGGTTTCATGTTTTTTTTTTTAAAAAAAAACTATAAAGCATCACTTTTTTATTTTGTTTTATTTTCAAATAATTAAATTACTTTTTTTTATAATCATTAGAGTAAACTTGATGGACAATTATTTTTAATAAAACATTTATTGATTCTTAAAGATCAAATTGCGGTCTTTGGTACACAATTTGTTCATGAAGAAAAGGATTTAGATTTTTCTTCTATAACTAGTAAGTATTCAAATTCAAAATTTTTTGAGCATGAATTTTTTTTTATGTAAGAGTTTATATTAAAATTATATTTTTAGATGCATTAAATGAAATATTACAGAATAAATATTCTATTTTAAGTCCTAATACTTTATTTGGCTTGGCACAAAAAGGAATTCCAAAAGTAAAAGAAAACATAATAGATTCCAAACTGGTACACACTTGTGCATGATTTTGTTCGAGAAAAAAAAAGTATATGAATGTGATTATTTAAGATTATTGCTTTTATTTTATTTTTTATTAATAATAATAAATATAGGAAGTAGATAAAGAATTAAAGAAAACATGCGAGGAATTTATTTATAATTGTGCAAACTCTGCTATTGAACCATTAACTTCATTCTTTATGAAGGTAAATTTTAATATTCTTATAATATATATAACATTTGTATTATTTATTTAAGAAATATTAATATCAATTATAAAATTTCTATTATTACAATTATAATTATTAGGTATCAACCTTTGGAATAAGAAATAAACTTAAACCAGTAAATCAACAAACTTTATTAAAAGATCAAAATTTTGCGAGTCCAAGTAAATTTAATTATTTGCATAAATCGTTTATTATATCAAATATAATTGGTCACCCAATACAGATTTCTTTATTTTTTCTTTCTAAATTTTTAATACTTTTTTTATGTTTATAGAAAATATTATAGAAGTTTATGAAACATTTCAAAATTCAGTTAAAATGCGAATTCAATACATTATGACAAAAATGTCTGAATATATTGAAGACAAAGATACTGAAGCGGTTTTGTTAAAACCAATACAAGTAAGCAATTTTTTTTATATTTGATATTTATTCTTTCATAACTAATTTCATTAATATTTCTCCTTTGTTTTGATAATTAGCATCATATTATAGTATCATATCATGCATTCTATGATATATTACTGATTGAAAAATATGAATTTGAAAATTTTCCTAAGCCAATCGCAAATGTTGAAGAGTTTAAATATTGGATGGCTAAAGAGTTATCGTTAGATTATGAGTTTGAAGATAACTATGAATATTATGACGAGGATTATGATGCCGGGAATGGTAGTGATTATAACAACAATAATCACAACTATGACAATAATTACGATAATAATAATAATAATAATAATAACAACAACAACAACTTTACTAATAATGATGATGTGATTTATAATTAATATTGATTGAATAGCATACTAATTTTAATTTTTAAAACACTAATGTTAACTTATTTATAATTTATAATTAATTAATTATTATTCATTTATAGATTTTTTTTTTTTATTTTTTAAAAAGAGAATTAAATAATTTATTAAATACATAATTTATAAGAACCTCACAGCAAATTTATACAGTTTTCACATCAAATTGAATTGTATAGTCAATCATAGATATTTATTATAATTATTATAATTTTATTATTGAACAAATAATTCTGGTGTTTCATTTTCCACAGCTAAAGCTGTTTTCTTTACATTTTCATCCCATTCTTGTAATCTTTGTCTCATATTATCAATTTGTTCTAATTCCAAAGCACGTGGTTGGACCCATGTCACTACAACTACTTCGCCCACTTGATCAATTGAACCACGAATTAATTTAAGTGAAAGAGCTTTCATTACAAGATATTCAACCTTTTGATTTTTTTATTTTTAAAAAAAAAAATTTTTTTTTGAGCAATGAATTCAATTTAATTAGAAATAAATATAGTAATTTATAATAACAATTCTTATATATTAAGTAAGTTATTGATTTGATAAATACTTGTTCTATAGGTAATCTAATTTCAGAAGCAATAGTTCCAAATGGAATTGTTCTATTATCAGAATTTCTTTTAAACACTGCTTCAATCAATGACATCAAACAAATTTTTTGACGTAAAAATTGATTTTTTTCTTGTAACAATGGCTAAAAAAATAATCAAATAATAATGAAAAAAAGGTATAAATATCTTTAAATTTGGAAAAATTTAAATTTATATATAATATTTACCTCTTGTGAAAAATTAACTGACAACATTTCAAATTTTCCTATGTCTCCAGCATTAAATGCAATTAATAAGTTTTTCAGCCATTCATAAGTTGTGTTTTCTAGTGAATTCAAAATTGGATGAACTTTCTTTAATAAATTAATGAATAGGAAAATATGTATATATGTATGTATGTATGTATATATATATATATATATATTGATTAATATTTTATAAATATGTGCACATATATATACATATACATTTTATAAATTCACACACACATATATGTGTGTGTGTGTATAACACAATCATTTTACCAATTCTCCAAAATTATAAATTGAATCACTTAAAAGTGCACTGATTGCTAATAAATATGCTCTCTGAACTTTTTCCTCGGGTTTTAAATCATCGAGTTGAATACATGCCAAATAGAGTAAAGCACTTTTATAATATTCTGCATATTCCGCTTTTACCTAATATTCAAATATATATATATATATATATATTTAGATTATATTTGTATATAAACATATGTGCGTGTGTATGTAAATGTCAAATACAAATTTTAATGAATCACCTTATAAAATTCGGCACAGACACGATAATAACTTGCATGTATAATGGTTTCTACAGAATCAAATGAATCGAGAATTTTCTCACATTCGTCTATTGCCGATTTTGTGCCTTCAAGATCATTTAACATCAATTTTATATAAGCAGTTTCCATTACAGCAAGAACATATGCATCATGTGTTTCGGGTGAATTGACCTTTTCAACAAGCGATGTTAAAAATTCCAAGGCCTGATTATAATCTACAATACGTACACGAGTAATAAGTAATATTTATTAATGAAGCAATTTAGAAAAATCCTTTATTATTAAATACCGCCGAATTGTTTCAAAACACTCAACCCCAATGTCACAAGTTTAAGTTTATTCATCTTGTTCTCCCAATCTGATATGAAATATCTAAACAAAGGTATTTGAAAGGGGCCTGAGTCTTGTTCTGAAAAGAATTCCTCCATCTTTAAGGTGAGTTGATGCCATAACTTGCGATCATATAAATCTTCAAAAATGTTCAAGTATTCTTGCAGTTCGATAGGAATTACTTTACGAATTTCACTCAATACCATGATAGGATTTTGATCCAAATCCATTTTCGTGTCTTGTTGAAAATAAGTCATTTCTATTGTTATTTTTATTATATATATATATGAAAAATTTTTTTTTTGATCAGAATTTATTCATGATTTTCCAAAATTACGCAAGTTAAATACTTTGTGAAACAATGTTGATGAATCCTGTTGTGATTTCTGTTCGAGTTTTTTCGAGTTTCAAATATTCGTAACGCTTAAAGTGAAAAATATTAGTATTCCAATAAAAAATTGAATGAGGTTACTTTTTCAATAAAGAACGGAGGCTATTAACGTAGATACTATTTGAATTATTTGAATCAATTAATGAAATTACATCTCTTTTATTAATAACCCTAAATATTCATTTCACGCGTGTAAAGATCACTTGCAATTTTTGTTAATTTAAAATAGAAATAAACAATAGTAAAAATATTGCTCCTAATAAAAAGATATTATTATGATTGATGTTAATATAATTAAAAAAATTTGCTAGTTGCTAAATCAACATCACCATAATAATAATAATAATAATAATAATAATCCTCTGGTATAAAGGAGATTACCAAACACATGCCAATGATAAAAATTTCGTACCGCACATAATGACGTATGACGAAACTTTTGACTTTAGTCATTGACGTAACTAAAGTATTGACTAAAGGTAGTTTCTCACCAGGGCCATTTTGACGATTTGACTAAAGTAAAAGTCCTTGACGTAAGCAAAAACATTTGATGTAATTGAAAACGCTTGATACAAGTAAAAAACAAGCAGTGATAATGATAATGATAAAATAGATTAATAAAGTATTATTATATCATTTTATGTATATTGCAATGATGTAAAAAGAATAATTATCATGGAAACTAATTATTTTTTTCTGTATATTTTTCCTAATTATACGTCATTAATTACGAAATTAATTATTATTATCATTATTATACAACTTATCCGTACACTTGACTCAATCAGGAGGCTTTTGACGCTATTAATCGAGTCAGACGCAATTAAAAATCGAGATTTGGGAATTGAGTCAAAGCCAAATTAATTTTGACGGAATGTATATAAATCATTAGAGTTAGACGAGGGACTTTGAGGAGGAAGCTAAAGACAAATTATTAGATAAAAAATATATATATATATTGGTTGTATAATATTATCCTGGTAGATAAATCAAATATTTATTCAGAATCAACAATTAAATGCTCAAACAATTCATATATGAATTTTTTTATTTCTTGCAAGTATTTTGCTATCTTTCTATATATATATATATATCTTTGTAATAGACCTTTTTATTTATATTAAGAAAAATAATGAAAAAATGAAATATTAAATATTAATATTAAAAATATAAAAAATAATAATTAATTAATTAATCGAAATAATTTCTATTAAAACCTTAACCGAATAACTATTATTTTACATTTATTATCATGGAAACCCACATCTACCAACATTATTATTATCAGGACTATTTTATTATCATCGTTAATACCATTAATGTCGGAGATGTATTTATTACAGGATGATACTTAATTTTCTTGATGCGGATGATGTGGATGATGCGAATGATGCGGATGATGTGTTGGTGACGATGATGAAGCATGTATTTCAGATGCTGATGCATCAGTTAGTGATGAAGATACAACAGCTCCTGTTGATGATGTGTCAACTTTATCAGTTTCTAATATTCCACTTGTGATGTTTTTATAAATTGAAGCAGATTCATCTTGTTTTCCATAATCATCATTTTCAGGTTTCTGAGAATCACTGCTATCGTTATCATCAATGTTCTTGCCAATTGCTGCTTTTAATTCATCACTTTTTGGATCATTGTCGATATTAGGTGCCTGTGTATCCGATAATATTGGTGATGATGAAAATAATACATTGGAATCATTAGTATCATCAATATTGTCAGTGACGACGGGGGCAATGTTCTTTTCCTTATTGACGGATCTTGATTTAGTAGATTTTTTATTATCGTCATCAACATCAAACATTGATAACGCCGATCTTCTTTCTTCATTACTACTTTTATTATTTCTCTTTTTCTTCCCCCCGGAACTGCTATAAGTATCATCATATATATCTTTGCTACCCTTTCTACTCATACTAGAGCTTTTCTTTCTTCTACCGCTACCATTTTTTTCTTTTACGTTATCAAGAACTGATTTTCGATCATCGTATTCATCACGATCGCTACTATCAACGATGATACTACCAAAACTATCTGCTGTTTTCCTTCTTCTTCTCTTAGATCTTCTTCTCATTCGTTTACTTTTATAAAATAAACTCAAATATATTCCAAGAATAATAAGCATTGCCTTAAGTATCAATACAGTTGTAGCTGCACTAAAGGATAACATTGGTATTATAGCTGGAGTTATCGAAAATTCTCGATACAATGTCTATAATTGTAATATGGAAAAATTAATAATAAAGAATAAAGAATTTAAAATTTTAAATTTTTATGAATAAAAGTGAATATGCTTACTAAAATAAATAAATGAACACTATCTTCGACCATAAAGCTAAACATTCTACCAATCAATATCAATTTATTATAACTATTAAAGGATGTCAATAATTTTTCTCTTGAGGTAAAAGAAGAAGAGTATGAAGAAGTTGTTGGTGTGTCGGAAGTTTCCGACGCTTCTGTTCTGTTCTTTTTGGATGATGATGATGGAGCAAATATAAATGGTAAATCCAAATCAATTGATGATAAAATAAAATAAAATATTTTCTTCAACAATGATGAGGTTGATGGTTCACAAGCGATTATCAAGAATGTAAACAACATATTGAACACAATTGGTAGTACTATAAATGTAACGCTATGATAATGAGGTAATTTGACGAAAAGTAATGATGGAAATTGATGATGGAAATTGATGATGATGGAAAATGGGGGAGAAATAATAGCAAGTATATTGTTATTATCAATACCAAATATTATTTATTTAAAAGATCAAAAATATTATTAATGTTGTTACCTTGGAAGATATAACCATTTGAAATCTTTTCCATGTATAGATACAAAAGCAATATCCAAGCAAAAATCTATTGTGATAAATATAAACATAGTAATTGCCAAAAGGTTTTGTGCCTAATATTATAAAAAAAAATAATTAGTCACATACTTGCGAAAAATATATATACTTATTATACCTAATTGACAAGTATAAATTAATGCATAATATAATTACCAATTTATATTTACGAGTTCCCACTAATATACATAAAATAATAAGCACTATTGACAATAATACAATAAATATTATCATGAAAATCCATCCAAAGCTCTCTTTGGAACTGGCTATTCGTTCAGCCCCATAGCCAGAGTCAATCAAATTAGTGTATAATCCTTTAGATAACAACGTAACATTTTTATTTATTATCAATTCATTCAAATCGCTTGATAATTGTATTGCACTCAACTCTGTTCTTGACAATGTTCCCTCGATATTGACTCTCATAAATATTTGATCAGTTGAACTAGCTGTGATATTCATTTCATAATTTTTGAATGTAAGATTATCATTTATACTACTATCGTTGTTGTTATTATCATGACTGTATTGATATTTTGTTGGTATTTTTATACGTGTTGCATCACATGGAAGTGCATTGGATAATTCATTTGACAATTTACCAACAAAATCCAATTGATCATTTTTTGATAATGATATGTAATATGTTGTACCTTCTGGTGTTAATCGGATTATACAGCTGACAGAACTTGAATCATAATTGACATACAATTCATCCCTGACTACAACTATATATTAATAATATACAAATTAGAAATAAATTATATAAATTATAAATATATTGATAAGACAATTTCTCTGTAAAAAAAAAATTTTAAAAACCTGTACTAAAACTCCATATTTTTGGTTTTATGCCAAAAATACTTTGATTAGTTGCAGAATCTTTAACAAAATCATCTTCAATAGTCACATAATAATCACTTCCAGGATTATTCAAGGTACTTTTTAAAACTTTAACTTGAACAATGCTCCCTTCAGTTCCTAAGATTTGAACATAATCAGATTGGCCAGAGCATGATTGACGCAATACATCTTCACTCTCATCATAATAATCATCACTGTTATTAATACTAGTGTCTGTGCTAGAACGTATTTGGTAAATATTAATGTTTCCTGAAGATTTTGTAACTGGTTTAGTATAAGATATTGTGAATGAATCAGTGTTTGCAGTTATTATGCTTGAATTTTTTTCTGGTATCGTTGACAATATACTGTCAGATCCATAACCTCCAGGACCACCAGGAAATTTACCGATAATACTAAAACTAAAATTATTATTACTCTGAACTGTACTATAAGTGGTTAAAGTATCAGTCAATAAACATGCCCAAGAGCAATTTCCAGTTGGTTGTTTAGGTATTGTCCATAGTGTATTGTCAGGTAGAACTCCTGCAATTTTATTGGTGTATTCATATTGGCCTGAGAAGCCCCAATTTCCAAAATAAGTGCCATTATTACTACAAATATGTCCTTCAACATTACCAGTTGGAGCAGCCTCTACTAAAATAACATACCCGCCATAATACAATGGTTGAACATCCCATATTGTTGTTGTTGTATTGGAAATTTGGGCAATTGAAAATTCTGGTGTTAATGAATTCAATTTACCCGAAGATGTGAAATCAATATCTATAAATGATATGTTTGTCGATCTAACAATTGTGATCAGACAACTGTATCCTGAAAAGTAATAGGCAAGATCACACCTATGAATATTAACAATATCAATCAAACCACTACCACTTGTTTTGGTTTTATATAACTCAAAAGGGCCTGTTTGTTGCGGATTATCGTCAACGGATAAAAATGTTACAGAAATTGCCCAATCTCCAGTAAATTGATTGCTATCAGTAGTTGTTTTTGTGCTAGTTGTACAAGTTACCATTGCATAATTTCCATCTTCTCTTGAAAAGAAATTTGTAATGTTTGGGTTAAAGTTGGATATATCTGTTAATTTTCCAGTAGAAGTTTCTATTATTGTACCAGTAGCAATGTTTCTATATATAATATGAAAATAATTAGGGGAAAGTAAAATTTGAAATAGGGAAGAAAAGAAAATTTGAACTTTTTAAAAATAAGAATTAGATTACTTACGGTACGCTGTATTTTGTCCAAATGATTTCTTTTTCATCTTCAACATAACACACACGTAAAAATCCATCATCTTTTTTATGGCTTTGAATAATTCTACTGTCATTGCATACATTCTCAAATTCAATTGTACTGATTATATTCACACATTTAGAAACTGGTTAGATGTGCAATCAATAAAATAGTAAAGTTTACATACAAATAGTTTGTTTACCTTGCTAATTCACCAGTCCAAGTAATGACATCACCACAAACTTTATTAGAAATGGAATGATCACAAAAATAATTTATTAATATATATTTATAAGCTATAGCATTTATTGTAATGCTATCACCACTACTGCTACCACTGCTTTGTTTACTATTAGCAACCAATGTAGGGTTGTAGCAAAAATTTTCACGTGGAATATTCAAATTATTTAAATCTAAAGTTGTAATGGTTCTATTTGTATGGACTAATCGTAAATAGATTGTACTCTCATTACAGTATTTTAAAGGATCCAACAATCTTAATAAAATTGTTCCATCCTGATAATTAATTCCATCAACTACTTTGAGGTTGTTGTTTATTAATTCGACATAATTTATTGTTGTCTCAAGTGCAAAAGTTGGATTAATTATTATATCAAAAATTGAAGAACTGATGAAGATCAACGCAAAAAACCAAACATTTTTAATAATAATAATAATATGATTCATATTCATTATAGAGAAAACTTTATTGCTCACTCTTTGATATTATTATTATTATTATTATTATTATTATTATTAGCAGAGGTGAAATTTTTTTCAAGAACAATAATCATCGGTCAGTTAAAAAATACATTTTTGGTTTTTTAATTTGTTAGTTATTTTTATCCTTCATCTTTTTCAATTCAATTCTCGTGAATTAATAGAAAATGATTTTCACAAAAATTACCCTTTTTACATTTTTTCCCGAGAAAAAATTTATTATCACAAACTTGTTTTCTTACACAAACTTGTCTTCACCCATAAATTTATTTTAATCAACAAACTTGCCTTCACCCACTAAATTTTGTTTCTTCAACAAACTTGCTTTCATCCATTTATTTGTCCACATTTTATATTATTATTATTATTATTATTATCACTTATTTGCAAAGCGCGTTTTTTCTCTTGGGAAAAATCTTGGGAAAAAATAAAATAAAAATGTCAAGCATATTTTTTTGAAGAGGTAGATGTTTGAATATAGAAATTTAAAATAAAATAAAGCATTAAATAATAAGTTTATTTGTGATTCAATAACGCAAACTACCAACTAGGTTGATTCACTACCGATTGAAGTCTTTGGCGCATTGTTATTTAGCAATTAAATAATAAATCATCATCATCATAATTATTTATATTGTTTGGTGTTATTATTGAAAGATAGTGTGATAATGAATAGAAATAAGAGTTTTCGAGTAATACAATTAGAATCTTTTGATTTATTTAATTAAATTAACCCAGATTTCTAACATCAAAATATTAAATATGCAAGTATCGATTGTAGTATGTCATAATCAACCTCAAAGTATTCTGTTGATAGGAATAGGCGAACAATACTATTATACGCGGCCATCAAATTTGTTTATTATAATTAACAAGTTCTTAAACGAAATGTAACAGTGAGTTTCGTGAAATACAGATTAGGATTATAGCACGATGATATTCTTGGTGTCATGACATCATAACATCACAATCACACATACATATATATTCGTTCGGAACATCAAAAAATAGCATCGAATGCGAAGAATCCTAGTATTCTATCGTGTATTCATGATCAATGATTGAGGCAAAATTAAGTGAGGTGACATAATGCTGATCAATAATAACTTTTCTAAAAATACATATATATATATATATATATAAACTATATAAATAAAAAGATACAAACATGAAACTAAGGGAAATTATAGTAAATAGATAAGCTTTTAGATCACAAAGAGTTTTGTTTCTTGCTAAATAAAAAAAGAATTTTTTTTATATAGTAAAGACATTGAAAAAAAAATTGCTAATAGATAAACTTTATAACCAAATAAAATGGTGCAAAAGCTCTCTGTAACTTTATTATAGAAGACTTAAACAATAAAACTATAAAAGGTTCATTCAATTTTATTAGAAAGAAAAAAAGTTATCATGGTTTAAAATTATTTGATTTATTATTATTTACATGTGTTGGAATATATAAAGATACTAAATGTTATGTTGATGTAACATGTATGTTTGATGGTCAACAGCCATAGAATACAACAATCAATGATGCAATCTTTAATATTTCATGCCCAGATGGTACATTGATCGAATAATCTAATAAATTACAACAAAAAAAACATATAAACAGACCCGCTACCTCCACCCGTGGACCAAAAAATTGCATTTTATGTTGCATTCGAATTCGAGGGTCGAGATATGTAGTGCAGAAACGGTGTCCTATATATATGGCTTTACACGTTACATTCAAATGCGAGGTATCTATATATTCGTTTGGAGCATCAACAATATATGGCTTATTTTATTCGTCGTGTTGAGCAAAAAATTTATTTGTTTGCTTGTTTTTTATTTATTTAAAAATTACAAAGGGAAATTGCTCACGAATTTAATAAATTTAATAAAAGCACAATCTCATTTGAGAAATAGATAGCTGAAAAGGTGGAAAACTTCGCTTTTCTCGATGGATGTATGTATATCAATGAAAATAACGAAAAGTGGTGAACATAAATGATTCATGTACAATGCATAATAAAAAAATGACGATAAAAAACAATGCTTGACGGATGAGCCTTCCATCCATCACCATCTAATATAAAAAAATAGTAACAAGTCTGTAATAAAAGAGCCATTGCCAAGGATTAGTTTTCGTGCAAGATTGATTGATGGTAATTTATCTACATATTTATACAAAAAGATTAAAAAAACGCGCTTTTACTAATTAGTGCTTCACTGGAATTTGAGAAATCAAGAAAGATGCTTGTTACTAAATTAAGGTTTTAACTTATGCCAAAAAATTAAAAAGTCGTTCGTTTGCTTTCATATTAATATGACGTAAATTCGACTTATACACAAAATAGCCATACCGTTTTGAAATTTTTTTTGTTTTGTCAATTTCATTTTTGATAGTAAAAAATCACGCAACTTCAAACCACTAAGACTAAAACATATTCTTTGTTTTTTCAATCTTTAGAATAAATTGGTTTTTCTCAATTTTATTCTTCCACACGGCTCACAGCCACCCCGGTCACTGTATGTGACCCACTAGCCGACCTGTTGAACATAATGGATGATAGGATAGATGGCATTTTTATTTTTTATATATATTGAATAGACAAAAAGCGAGGATGAATTGGAATTTTTTTATTTCTTTTTTTAATAATCAAATCAAAGAAACACTAGACAAAAGCAAGCTAGTAGTAAAAAAATATTCGAGAGGTGAATCAGTTGTTTGTTTATTTATTTATTTTTTATTTATTCATCTCAGATCAAAGGTCAATTTTTCCTAATTAAAAAAAAAAGATCCTTTGCAGAGAAGAATCTCATGAAATTTTATTTGTTTTCTCCGAAAGGAAATTTAGCGATTAATAAATTTTTTCTTTCCCAGGCCATCATTATCCCTCAAATGGTCAAAATCAAAAATATTTTTTTTTGTTTGTTTTCTCCAAAAGGAAATTAAAAATAAAAATTTTCCTATTCAGGTCATCAAATGGTCAAAATCGAAAAAATTTGTGCATATTGTTTATTCATCGATCATTGAATTGACCGATAATAACAACAATAAAATAAAATGTAAAGTATTTTTGAATCCCGGTCTCGTGTCCCGAAAATATACTAACACTAATACTAACACGTCGTGTGACAAGTCTTTGACGACCTGGGACCTGAGGTAAAGGCTCCAAGGCAGGCCATAAATTTTGATCATTTTGAACGGGTCCGAAACGTCAGAGAAATATGGAAACCTAACGGTAGTCAACGATAGACATTGCGCAAAAAACATCGAAAACGAAACACGATTTCCTTTCAGTCAAGTATCTCCCTGACGTTTTTTTGAACAAAAATGATAAATTTTTCGGTTGCCAAATAGATAGCAAATGGGAAATTCGCATGATACAACAATATAAAAATAACACAACCATTCATAATTTTTTGGAAACAAAGTTTTACCCTTTGATTTTGATCTCATCCTTCCCCCAACAATTTAGTTTGCTAAAGTTTAGCAATGAAATGTTTAGAAGATTTGTGACTCGTTATCGTAACTTAAACGAGTCTACAAAGAAATATTTCCCGTGCAGCCAACTTGGGTAAAATTGTTAACATAAAAAAAAAAAACATTTTAGAAAGAAACCGTAACACAACAACTTTCTTTTATATATGTGTTAAGGGAAAAATAGTGTAACCGTTATTTTCAAAAAATCCCCACGTCGAATTTTATATCTTATATTTTTATATAATGTCATATAATAAACTATTATCATCGTTATCAATAGAAAGAAAAGAATCTGTATTTAAAATTTATAATGAAATGCGTAATAATGCTAGTGTTAATTCTGATGAAGAAAGTATAAAAGATTATTTTTTTTCATTAGTCAAGAAAAACAAGGAGCTTTCTGAAAATGAAAAAGAATATTGTAAGAAAAAGATTATTTATCATGTTGAATTAAGAAATGCAAGAAATAAATTTGGAAAACCAAAAGAATGTAACAAGTGTAAATTGACAAGATACTCTGATAGGTTCTGTGAAGGTTGTATTAGTTTACA